GTTAAGAATGAAGGTGGAACATGTCTATACTTTGATCACCCTTACAGTCCTTGCAAGCAGCCAGTTGCAGGCTTTAGCTGAGTGCCCTTCCCCAGCTGTGTTCACACACAGTGAACACATACACACATTTCTTCAGAAGGCTATACCTTTATTGGTTTCAGCAGCAAACCCTGGCCAGCATTGGGGGAATCAGATCCGATACATCGGGCAGCCCAAATGCCCGCTGATGGCGACCACTATTTGCTTCAGCAGCCTCTGGACCTCCCACCAAAAGAAACCATGTTCTGAAGACTGCACGAGCATGCACCACTCCATGATTCCTGGCACCTGACCTCAAAACAGAGGCCGTGAGCCACTAGGCTGGGCTAGATCATGCCTGGCCCTACCCCCAACCTTCCCATATGGCAAGGCTCCTTTACCATCCAGAATTAGCAAGTTCCAATTTCAGTCCTCATAGCTTCTGGATCCAACCCCAATGTCCCAGATCACCAACAAACATGTAACAATGATAACTAGCAACACAAATTTATTGTACCGAATAACCCCGTCCCTTCATCATTACAACCTTAATCAACTGAAACAGCAGCTCCACCACCATAGAATTAGGAAAGGAAGGAAGGAGAAAAAGGCTAGCTCACAGCAAATTGAGCAGGGGCGGCCACATCCTTCTTCCTTTATGCCAGGTAGGCAGACCTGAGTGGAAACCCTTTCCTCCAGTCCACCTGTCCCACAATCTTCTTTTCAAGTTCCCCTGCTGGCCAATGCAAGGCTTTTGAGGCAATCCCACCCCTTCTGGCTAATCAGAAGTTGAAGGCAGGTCATGGAGCTACCTGGCAGTTGCCTTCTTCATTCTCTCTGGACCTCCTGGTCTTCCCCATGTCCTCCACTCCTTGTAAGCCCCAGGGTAGGCCTGCTTCAGATGCAACAAGGATGCCCAGCTATGTCTGGGCTCCCATTTTCAGATATTAAAAACACTCCAGATATTTCTCAGTGTGGAATAAGAATGCCAAAAGGTTCTGTCCCTTAATTCAAATTTACAATCTAAAATGTGAATAGAAACACAGATATGCTTCAATTTTTTTGGCACTTTGCTGTAATTTCTACTGTAATTATTAGTTCAAAAATGATGCAAGATTTGTACTAAAATGTGTACTTTAGGGTAAAAACAAAGCACACAGAAACATGTATTTTGTTTAAATGAAGACTTTAAAAACAAAACAGCTTTGAAGGAGATCTATGTGGGGAAAGATGAAGTGAACTTGGCTGGGTCATGGGTGGAACAGGAAAAATACAGGTTTCCTTTAACTCCAAAGAAAGAGGTCAGTAGAATTATAACATTGCTTGTTGTCAAGTAGTGCCACAAGTTCCATGGCATGTGCATTATGATTAGCTCCAAGAGCCTTGCTGACTAGCCTGCCACTAAGACCACTAATGTCCTTCATAGTGATGGCCCCTATCCTTTGGAAATTCCTTCCATCTATCTGTCTTTGAAACAGCTTTTAAAACATACTGCTTCTCTCTGGCATTTAGCTGAAAAAGTTTCATGGTATTTGTGATCCTCCAGCTGTTGTTTGACTGCAATTCCGACCATTTCTCTCTACCAGCTATGTTGATTATGGAATTAAAAACTCTTCCAATGCAGTATCTTCTTGTTTTGTGCTGTCAAGTCATTCTCAACTTGTGATGACCCCATGAATGAGCCATCTGCAGAATGTCCTGTCTTCTTCTTTTTATTCACACAGAAACAAAAAATAAGACAAATAGAAACAAGGAAAAAAGAAAGGAAAAAAAGGGAAAAAACTAACCCCTAAAACTAACCCCTCCCCCCTTTGGAGTCTGAGACTCCAGCTTCGTTAACCCATCTGCTCCCCCAATTTCATTTCCAGTCTGTGCTAAGTAGATATACATACATCATAAACTTTGCCCTACAGTCCTGTGTTCTTCTGGTCCCAAGAAGATATTAGTTCCCAGCTTTGTTTTACATAGTCTCTTGGTTGTTCCCATAGTGCTTTAGAGTGTCCAGTTCTGCTGTATCCCATAACTTCTTTAACAGCTCTTCTATTGTTGGAACCTCTTCGGTTTTCCATTATTGGGCCCAGAGTAGTCTAGTTGCTGTGAGTATATATACAGTATAAGATAATGCTTCAATTTATTATCATTAATGCCTGATATGACATTCAATAATGCCATTTCAGGTTTTATATCTAATTTCTGCTGGGTAATTTCTTTTGCTCCGTCCCATACCTGTGTCCACTAATTTTTGACCTTTTCGCATGTCCACCACATATGATAATAAGTTCCTGCATTCTTTTTACACTTCCAGCATATATTGCTGTTATCCACTGATATTTTTGCTAATCTTAGAGGTGTGTAATACCATCTGTAGAACATTTTAAGGATATTTTCTCAGAATGTCCTGTCTTCAACTGCCCTGGTCAGCTCTTGAAAACTCAAGCCTGTAGCTTCTTTTAGGAAGGCAATCCATCTCCAAATTGTTCTTCCATTTTTCCTGCTGCATTCAACGTTTCCTAGCATTATTGTCTTTTCCAGAGAATTCTGGAAGTAGGACAGCCTCAGTTTCAACATTTTTGCCTCTGGAAATAATTTAGGCTTGGTTTGATCTAGGACCCACTTATTTGTCTTTCTGACAGTCTAGGGCAGTAGTCTCCAACCTTGGGCCTCCAGATGTTTTTGGACTTCAACTCCCAGAAATCTTGGCCAGCAGAAGTGGTGGTGAAGGCTTCTGGGAGTTGTGGTCCAAAAACATCTGGAGGCCCAAGGTTGGGGACCACTGGTCTAGGGTATCCACAAAGATCTCACCTAGCACCACATTTCAAACAAATCAAATGATGGAAGAAATATCAGCAAATTAAGATATGCCAATCTTACTGACAGAAAGCAGCAATGACTTGAATTGGCTTTTAGTGAAAGTGAAAGAAGAAAGTGTCAAAGAAGGACTGCAGCTGAACGTTAAGAAGGCCAAAATCATGATCACAGAAGAGCTACACAAATTTAATGTTGACAACATAGAAATTGAAATAGTCAGAGATTTTGTATACCTTCAATTACTGATTTTGAGATTTCGAAAGGCAGCAATGATGGAACTAGAAAAGATAATCAAGTGTAAGAAGGTGTCACTGGAGACCAAGACCAAGATCACCCACACAATTGTATTTCCAGTCACCATGGATGAGTGTGAAAGCTGAACAGTTAAGACATCCGAAAAAATGTTGAATAATTTATACTAAACATATTGCAGTATGAACAAATGTGAAATTGCATTTTATTATAACTCACTTTTATTAATTTTCTAAACAAATCAAGGTGCTTTAAAATTTTTATACACAGTGTCTTAAATTATGCAAATATGCAAATAGGGTAACATTTGAAAGTGACTTGCCATAAATTAAGAAATCTCCATAGACCTTATGTTTCCAGAATAGAATTACTGTCAGCATGCTGAACAGGATTGTTTCTTTTACACGGTTATAGAACCCCATCCTGCCACCAGCTATGTTAAAAATGAATTTTTCTTTAGCTTACTTGTGTGGTGAATGGGAAATAACATAATTATTTTCAAATCTCTGATGTTCCAATTGAGAAAAGGAATTGGATAAAACTTAAAAGACAGTTTTGAGCCTAACAACTTAGATCTCCCCTTGAAATCCTTTAGCTGACTGCATTTGCACCTGGATGCACCCTGAGGGGATGGAAAATGGTACATGTTAGAACACAGAGTTTCAAACCTACACATTTTATGCAGAAAAGGTGAAAGTGGAAGGAAATTACATGTGCTCACTGGCATTTTTCTCCCAGCCTTATGCTTGTTTGCTCAGAAGTAAGACACAGAGTTTCAACAGCCTTTACACCAAGGTATGACTCAGTTATTGAAGGTGACTTTGCAGCTGACTGCATAGCTCAGTGAGTTAGGTATCTGGCCATAGAACCAGAGGCTGGGAATTCAGATCTCCACTATGTGTCTCAGAAGAGCCAGCCTGTGTATCCTTGGGCAACCCACTATGTGCCTCCTTGGGCAAACTGCACAGTCCCAGGATGGCCCCAGAAGAAAAGGATGGCGAACAAGTTCTGAGTTAGAGATTCAATGCTTCTCAGCCCCACCTCCTCTAGCAGGTGCCCACTCAGAGAAAACACTCTGCCCCACCTCCTCCAGGCGCTGCCTCTCAGTGGGAGCAGGCAGAAGGAGACAGGGCTGGGAAGTGTGAACACCTGTTTGGCTAAAAAACAAACCGGCATGAACCACTGGTTCAGCGATTCCTGCTCGTCTCTGCTTCTCTCTAACTAGAAAACCCTAAAAAGGGTCACCATAAGTCAGAACTGACTTGATAGCACATCATTATTCATAGGTGTTTTCAGAAGCACTCACAGGTATTGGTTCTATATAATTTTTTTTAAAAAACCACATTTCAACATCTCAACCAAATATTTATAACATTTATAACTAATTTTTATATTAAAAAACATAGGTAAAAATAGTTACAAGAATTAGAGATAATTATAAACAAAAATGCCTGCTTGTTTAGAAATTCTCTCTCTCTCTTTTAATTCTGTGCTTTCTTTTAAAACTTGACACATTTCTGATTATACATGTGCGGTACAATACTATGCAGGTTTATTTAAAAGTCTCATTAAGTTCAGTGAGACTTTCTCCCCAGTAACTCTGCATAGTATTGTGCTCTAAAATCATTAAATTAAAGATTAAATGTTCCAGATGCAAACCTATTTGGAAAAAAATACTTTAATCAAAGATTGCTCATTCATTTTCTATTGTTATCTGTGGGTGGGGGGTTGTTTTCCATTCACTGGGGGAGTTTATGTGCTTCCCACATCATCATACATCTTACACTGTAAACATAAAAGCTCACTAGACGTTTTCCTTTTGCCAAAGTAAATGTTTGGAAGCTAGAAAGCTGTATAAAACAATATGTGATTTTTCAAAGAAAATGATAGAACTAAAGAAGGGAAAAGGCATCAAAGTCTGTGCTGATCTGCAAAACCACTTAGGAACCTGAACACATGAAAAAGAAATAAGGCTAAAAGTGTGTGTGTTTGAGAGAGGGAAGGGGCTGATAAAGTTTCTGGCTACAATACAGGAGACATATCGTTACCATATGATCTACTGTGGGTGTTAGCCCGCCTGGATTGTGTTCATTGAGAGAAATCTTACTTTTTAAAAACTGTGCTGTGGAATAGAAGCAGCAGGAGGGTTTACCACCGAGGGACAGTCCCGGAGCAGTCAGCTACCCCTCCTCTTTTCCACACCTGCACAGTTCTTCTGTCTGGCTTGATGCTTCTAGTTTAATTGCATCTTAGCTCTGAGAGTGCCTGTTGCAAATCCCTGGATTAAAAGGTATGGCTTTCGATAATTATCCTGAACTCTGCCGCCGTGCAATAAAACTTCAGTTAAAAACTAGAGGGAACAAGGAGTCTGAAAGAAGAGGCTTTTAAACAAAAACGTTAGTACAGTTGCCTCTACATTATTTTGAGATCATTCGCGAGAGCTGTGGACATTTTTCTAGCAATCCTTTTGCATTCGGGGTTACTGACTAGCATTTTCAAAGAAGGCTTAGTTTGTATTTTCAAATAAGGATGAATATGTTCTTCAGATGTTTTGCAGCCGTGCTTTTTTTATTGTTTCATAAAAATTGGAGCATATGGTGTTAAGAGTAAACTATGTGGGCTCTTTCTTTTATAGTCTGAAAATGAAGACTTTTTTTCTTTCAAATAAGTGGGGGATGCTTTGCCAGAGTAGCAGATATATCTCTAAACATTGTGAAGTGGTATATAACATATGTAAACAACGATTTCATATTTTAGACAACAGGATTCCTGAGTGAAAGAACTAAAGCAAACAAACTTAGCTATACTGTGGTAAAAAGTTAGTATGAGCAGATATTCATGCTGTTTGAAGGAGAAATAATGTACCTCAAAAATGTTAATGTGTCCAGCCAAATATGTTTGCCTCATCTGTTCTTGATACCTCATAAGAGAGAGTTGTATTTGCAGAACTAATAAACATGAATAGATGCAACGTATTAGTTGCTGTTGAAGCTATAAATCCGGTCTATGATTGAGCAAGCTTTGCATTGCAGTCTCCTCTTCCTAGAAAAGTCATTCTTACTGTCTCCATTTTCTAAAGAGAAAGCATTGCATTCCACAAACCAGTTCAGCCAAACATTCACTCCAAAGATTCTGTCTCAAATGATTCATGGAGTAGGCTGAAGTTTACATTCCTGGATAGATATACTGCAGCATATTTCAGTATGGAAATCAATCTTTCCCCCTCAGCCCTCTCACTTTAAGTCATGTATATATGTCATCTCATAATAAGTCCACTCCCGCCATGGTTGATAGATTTTGCAGCTTATTTATGTGTTTTTCTTCCTATTGTGTTTATTTTGTTTGGATGTACACATATTTTCTTGTTGTAAATTAATATGATAAATAATTCCCCCTCCCTATCTTTGCTTGCTATCCTATAGAAAAAAAAATCTGTTGAAACCAATCATATTAATAAAAGCATAATTTAGTATGCCAAATGTTATGCCATAATTTAGTATCCAGATGTTAAGTCCCACTGAGTTCAATGGAGCTTATTTCCTACTGTATATATTAAAAATTACAGCTGTGGACAAATTCTTAAAATAACCATAGATATTATAGGATAATACTCTCATAATGTGCCATCAAGTTCATTCTGGCTTATCGTGACCATTTCCAGGATTTTCTAGGTATAGTTGCTCAGGAATGGTTTACTGTTCCTTTCTTCTGGGTTTGGACTATATAACTTCCCTAAGGCAACTTAGCTCTTCCCTTATAAAGGGGAATTGAGCCTCCAACACCTGGCCAGGTGCTCCATCCCAATGAGCTACGAAGCCAGCTATACTGCAATTACTAAAAGATTAGGCCCATTACTAGTTGGCAGTCATAAATTTATATAATTTTGTGGTGATTCTTACCATACCTACCTAAAAGTAAGCTTGGTTAGGGTGCCACTGTTGGTGAACTATAAAGATGACATTTCAGTGCTTTAAATCTTTTCATGTGTTGGATGTTGGGTACTCTTTAATGCAGGAACATGTCAACTAAGAAAAAGAAAGCATGTGTCTCTTTGATAGATTTATTTTTAGCAGTGCCTAACCTGAAACAGCTACAATATTTTACAGGGGCCATCACGTATATATAGTGAGAAATCCTAAAGGCCAAGAGTTCCATGTGCTTTATTCAATCCATATTGGATTTCACACTTCACACCACTTTGCACTTCACATCTCTCTCTAGATATAAACACACACGCATGCATGCATGAACATACGCGCGTGCACACACGCATACACACACACACACGTGCGCACACATGCACACACACAAAACAGCAAACAAGCACAGTCCCTACCCCCAGAATTATAACATTTTAGAACCAGAAAGAAAATGAAGGATCAATAGATTTTTCCAGTGCCGTGAACAATGACTGGACAGGTTGAAGAAAGAAAAAACAAGCCTATTACTGTCATTATATGTCTCAGTTCTGGATTCCTCTGAATATCTGTTTGTATATCTTTGAACTAGATACAATATACAGAAGTGGGGAATGTGTGGCTCTACAATGTAGATTACAATACCAATCAGCTCAGTCATCCTGCCCAATAGTTATGCGGTTATAGTCCAATCACTTCTGGAGCACCACAGTTCTTCTACTACTGCAATAGCCATTCATATAAAGCCATAGTGAGTTTATCAATTCAGAAGCATGTTATTGGCTCCTACCAGAGGCTTTTGAAAGTATGAGTCAATGTAATGTAGTGCTGGTAGTGAAACAGCACTACAGCACAGTACTGTTGGTCCCAGTTCTTGGACTAAAACTCCCAGAAGCCTTCATCACTAGCTGTTTTGGCCGAGATTTCTGGTAGTTTTAGTCCAAGAACATCTGGGGACCCAAGGTTTGTTATATAACTTTGAAACTTTGAAAGAACAGATAGTTTATTTTTGCTCTGTGCCAAAATTAGGTGACGTGCAGACAAAGGGTTTTCAAGTTATGATGTTTTAAAAATAAAACTCCCCCAATTAAGAAATAGGTGACCCAAAATGACCCCAGATTTGAAACAGATAACATAAATAGAAATGCCAATCTTTGTTATCTTGAAAGAGAATGGTTGAATCCATCTGCCTTTTTTAAAAAATGGAAATAATCCAGGCTGCAGGGTGGAAATATTGATCCCCCAAAAAGGCCTTTCAAAAGGGAAAAAATAGCCACTCTGTTGTGAGACTGAGCATGCATGGTTCAGACCTGCCAGCAGGAGCTTTGCAATATGATACATTGTATACATTTGTAGGTGGGAGAGATATATTTGGAGAGCTGCAGGACACCTAAAGGTCATAAAAACATACAGTTTTGCAAGCCATATTCAAAGTATTTCTCATTATTTTAGAAAAACAGAGAGCAGTTGTTTTTTGTTCTAGTACTTTTAGTAAACATTCTCTCAGGATTTCTGAGACTAAACAGTCCCTTCACATAAGTAGTCAAAGGGGAAATCAGCTCCACTTCTGGGGCAATCTGAACTTTTGATGCTGTTGATCAGAACCAATTAGCTGTCTTAGCTAACTTTTTGATTTTTTAAATTCTTTCCTGGCCAAACAGACTTTTCAGAATCATGCTTGCAGGGGGATTCAGTGTTTGGTTGTAAAAATAGAGATACAACAATGGCATGACAACAATCTTCAAAATTCATGCACATTAAATTTTCTGGGCAGGATCCCATTCATTTCTTCTACTCACACAATGATCTTTTGTAAAAAGCAGTTGAGTAGTTTTCCAATTTGCATAAGGCAGTATTATTGGATACCTCCTTATCCCAAACTGGGAAATGCCCAACTGGTGACACAATGGATTGTTGCATCAGCAAAGGAAATGAATTCTGACTCCTGTTCACCAGGAAAGTACAGTGGTCTTCCAACATATAGGCCTTATGACCTAGGGTGTGATGACTTTCTACATGACTAACATAGCATGGGAGCTGTATCCATATAATGTGATTCTCATGCCACTAGCAACATGTGTAAACAAGATGTAAGGAAAGGCATGGGTGCTTTCCTGCTGGTGCCTCTTAGCCAATACTGCTGTGGGAAACAACTCTGCCATCCATTCATCCCATGTGTTTTATGTTGATGGATATTAGCAGGCTAGGATGGAATCCAAATATGAGAGAATGGTGTTCATGTCATTGTGGTAACACCCAAACTGTCCACATTGAAACTGCCAACAAGGCATATGCAACTGGAGGGCTATATTTTTGAATCTAAAAGTTTACTAAGGACAAATAAGAAACCTTGGTTACAAGTTGAATGAATATGTTCATAAACACAACAGTGTTGTATGAGTTACTATTTTCTATGGCTGCATATATATTAAGAAGCATCAGCAGAATTTTACAACCCTAATACATTGCAAGTTAAGTCCATACTATGTCACACTCCTTGGGACTTCTGAAACTTCAGATCAAATACGTGTAATGTACATGTAGGGACCATGGCTCTCATTTTTGTCTGCTTAAATGGTAGTTACAGTGTTGTGGCAAATGGATGAAAACTAAATTAAATGTTGATTCACCTTCCAGAAAGCCAAGAATAGCCAATATAAAATTGATTTTTCCCCTTTAAAATACTGAGATTTGTTTAAAGCCGCTATAGCTTCCTTTCCCATGATCTTGCCAGCTTGGCTTTTCTTAAAGGCAGAAAAACAAAAAGGAAAGGAAAGGAAAACAAAAATCCCCATAACAAGTTTCAGAACTTCAGATTGATCAATGTGATGACAAATTTGGGAAAAGATAAATCAATCTGGTTCCCATTACTGACAAAGAACTATCACGTGGCTCCTTCCCTTAACTATAATTCCAGCACAGCTGCCTGTTACTAATAAATGCAAGTGAAATTCAGATATTCAAAGAGATGTGCTTACAATTGACTCCAAGTTCCTCCATGTGTCTGTGAAATAAATGTATACTGGTTTGCCTTGGTATATGAATGCAATGCTGTTGTCTTAGCAAATGCTAGCAGTGATGCACTAGAAACTTCTTAAATGACAGCTAGGTGAAAGATATAAACACCAATATAATGTTACAAATTGTATACCTTTTCTTTGCCTCCTAGAATTACCATTGCTTCCTTGAATAGATGAACTGAACCATGAAAGTGGCCATCTTCTTCCTGCTACTCCTGCCTTTGTGCTTGGCCAAGCCATTCCATCAGAAAGGCTTATTTGACTTTATGCTTGAAGATGAGCCAGGTTCAGGAACCCCTGAACCTACAGTACCTACAGGATATCCTCCAATGTCAGTATGTCCATTTGGTTGTCAATGCTATCTTCGAGTTGTGCAATGTTCTGATTTGGGTAAGCTGAGTAAAACCTTACTTTGTAAAATGTCTTCACATTAAATGTAAACATGCTTACGGATGCTGGTTTACAATGATAGTGAAGTGATTCTCAGTTTTTATCCTGTGAATTGTTTTAGACCTCGACTCCCAACATTCCTAGTTGCAACTAGTAAGTTCATTTGAATCAATTATGGAGAAGCTGATTCACCAAACCCTCACTAATTCAGTGGCCTATTCTAGTGTGATTTACTATGCTAGGATTTTAGCCATTGAATGCTACGTAAATCAACACTTACATAAGTCTCATTGACTCAATATGTGCTCTAATTGGAGATGAACAATTGGATATAGTCCTGAAATGTTAAACTTTTTATCATTTTGCCTTGTTAAATTTAACTACTGTATTTAAAAATTATATAGTCCTTCTAGCTGTGATTGTTTCCTCCATAATGAATGGTAGGGATTTTTTCTTTTCTGTTCTTTTTAGTAACCTTCTATCTTGCCTATTATTCATGGGTATGGATATGGCACTTCTGCATCTCAAACCTGCCATGTTGTGAAAGCTTAAAGTCTCTGCTTGAGCTTTTTACCAAAATAGACTGTGAAGAATGTTGGATGCACTACAACCTACATATGATGCCTTTGAGAGGTTTTGGCTGTGAAGGATCTTTCTGGACTGGGGTGAATGTCAGTCAACCCAGTAGCAGCCAAGAGTTCCCTCTCTTCCTCAGATTCTCCCCCCCCACACACACATTTTTCCAGTTGTTGTTCTGTCAATGCTAGAGTTACAGAGTCTGAAGACAGAGTTAAGTGTTCTGTAAGCTATGTAACCAGTCAATCAGTAATGAAGTTAGTTTATCAGTTAAGCTCATCAGTGTAACATTTTCACACAATATGGTGCTTGTTTTTACCTATGAATAATGGTAAGTAAATGGAAACATTTTATTCTTTCTCATTACCAAAGTCTCTGAGCGAACGTACTGAGACAGTAAGTGCTAGTTGAGGTAAATTAACAAATAAGGGATAGCCTACTGAGGGAGACTTGTAGCTCATTCTGCTTTGTAGGTTGGACCTGAATGCTTAAATGACAACTCCCAATCTTTTATGAATGAATTAAAAGAAGAAGAAAAATCCAGCTAGAACTGGTTTGGAGAAGCTCCTTTTCACAGTGAGTTTGTGATGCTGCTGTTGATTATTTACTTGATTTATAATTAGGCACATTAGTGCACTTTTGTATCTGAGTGTGAAAACTATAGCATAATCACACAGTGATATGGAGCAGCTGAAACACAGCATAGGCTTTGATAGTATCAACATCTGTAAACAGCAGTTCTGCACTGCAGATCTGTCCACAGCTCTATTATCTTGGGACTTAATCTGGATGCAGGGATGGCATTAGGAGGGCAAAGGCTGAGAATGAGCTGAGCTTAGCTAGAGACACTAAAAGCAATAAAAGCAGAACTAAAGACACCAAAAAAAGACAGAGACACTAAAAGCAATATTAAAAAAACATTCTTCAGGTATGTGAGTAGCAAAAGACAAACAAAAGACATAGTGGCACAGCTCCACAATGGAGATGGAAAAATGATAACAAAGTACAAAGAAAAGGCAGAGGGGCTCAATTCCTATTTTAGTTCAGTCTTTTGCCATAGGACAGACTATGAACTTCCAAACAAATTGTAGCTGGAGATAGATAAACAAATAGTCAAGGAATACCTTACCACCTTGAATGCATTCAAATCTCCAGAGCCAGATGAACTGAGTACTGAAGGAACTGGCTGAAAATAACTATCCATTGTTTTCTTGAAATTATGGGAAATGGGTGAGATGCTGGAGGATTGGAGGAGGGCCAATGTTGTCCCTATCTTTAAAAAATGGAAAAAAAGAGGAACCTGGGAACTACAGGCCAGTCAGCCTGACATCAATCCCAGGCAAAATTCTGGAACAGTTATAAAGTGGTCATTGTGCAAGCACCTAGAAAACAATGCAGTAATAACTAGGAGCCAACATGGATTTGTCAAGAACAAATCCTGCGAAACTAATTTGATCTCATTTTTTGATCAGGTCATCTCCCAGATAGACAGAGGAAATGCTGTAAATGCAGTATATCTTGACTTCAGCAAAGCTTTTGACAAAGTGCCCCATGATATCCTGATTAGCAAGCTAACTAGGTGTGGGCTGGATAGATCAAGTGCCAGGTGAATATACAACTGGCTATAGAATCGTACTCAGAGGGTGATGATTAATGAGTCCTTCTCTAACTAGGAGGAAGTAACTAGTGAGGTACTCCAAGGCTCAGCCCTGAGCCTGGAGCTGCTCAATATTTTTATTAATGACTTGAATGAGTTTTTAAGGCTCAGCCCTGGGCCTGGAGCTGTTCAATATTTTTATTAATGACTTGAATGAGTGAGTGCAGGGAATGCTTGTCAAATTTGCAGATGATACCAAATTGGGCAGAATAGCAAACAAAATTCAAAATGACTTTGATAGGATGGAGCACTGGGCCAAAGCAACAGAATGAAATTAAACAGCGATAAGTGCAAAGTCCTGCACCTTGGAAAAAGAAACCAATTGCACAGTTACAAGGTGGGGGATACCTGGCTCAGCAAAACTATGAGTGAGAAGGATCTTGGAATTTTTGTAGATCACAAGCTAAATATGAGCCAACAGTGTGATGTGGCTACAAGGACGGCAAATGTTATTTTAGGCTACATTAATAGAAGCATAGTTTCCAAATCCCAGAAGGTCATGTCCCCCTCTATTCAGCACTGGTTAGGTCTCATTTGAGTATTGTTTCCAGTTCTGGATACCACACATCAAGAAGGATGCTAACAAATTGGAAAAAGTTCAGAGGAGGGCGACAAGGATGATCAGGGGGCTGGAAATCAAGCCATATGAGGAAAGGCTGAAAGAATTGGGCATGTTTAGCCTTGAGAAAAGAAGACTGAGGGGTGATATGATCACACTTTTCAAATATTTGAAAGGCTGTCATATAGAGGAGGGAGAAGATCTGTTCTTGATCCTGCCAGAGTGCAGGACACACAACAATGGGCTCAAGTTAAAGGAAGCCGGGTTTTGGTTGAATATCAGGAAAAATTTCCTAACTGTTACATCAGTATGACAGTGGAACCAGTTACCCCGGGAGTTGGTGAGTGCTCCAACACTGGAGGCTTAGATAATCACCTGGGAGATATGCTTTGATTGTATTCCGGCATTGAGCAGGGCGTTGGAGTTGATGGCCTTGTAGACCCCTTCCAACTTCACTTTTGTATGATTCTATGAATCTAATTCAGGGGTCAGAGAACTTTTTTACCTTTTACCCCCCCAAAAAATTTATATACGCCAACATTACCCCCTTGATTTGAAAGGAAGGAAATCATACATTATTTGAATTCAAAATATTTTTGAATCTACACAGGCTGTGTACCGAACTAGTAGGATGCACTAAATTTGATAAAGATGTGCACTATTTTTGCTGGAACACATTGCACTCCAGCCATGGTGTGGTATAGGGA